TTAGTGAGAAACTATTTGTTCTGTAAACCTTCATCTAAAGTACAATAAAAAAAAAATTTTAAAAAGAGCAGGAGTAGCAATATTAATCTCTGACAAAATAGACTTTAAAATAAAATCCACCATAAAGGATAAGGCATTATCTTTATCCATAAAGATTACAGCCTTGGAAGCCCTATGGGGCAGTCTGACTCTGTATTATAGGGTCACTATGAGTCAGAATTGACTACACAGCAATGGAGTCCTGATGACATCATGAATCTCCAGAACAAACTATCTTGTGGGCACCCAACTACTGGATTTTTCAGTTATGTGAGTCAATAAATCTGCTTCATAGTTTAATCTAGTTTGAGTGGCAACCAAATAAACTCTAACTGATACAACTCACAGCAGCTAACAACAACAACAACACAGATCTACAACATTCTGACCTTTATTAACTCACACCAGCCACATGTAGTGGTAAAGGCTGGTGTATTTCCCATGGGATCTTTGAGACATGAGGGCTAGAGCTGGGGGGGTGTGGGAAGTAGTCTCCTAAATCCCGGCCCTGATTTCTCCTTTTTTTTTTTTCTTTTAATTGTGGTAAATATAAATGCAACAGAACATTTGCCACTTCAACATTCTTCACATCTACAGTCCAGGGACATTAACTTACGTCCATCATGTGGTTCTGACTGCCCCTTTAAAAGGCCATACATTCCTGGCTTTCTCCTGCTCCTGACTCCTCTTCCTAGTGCCTTTGGTAGTTGCTGCTCTAGAGATAATCCTAAGCAAAACTTCTCAGCAAATCTCTCCCTGACAAATGCTGAGAAATCCTCAGGGCGCATTCTTGGGCCATTCACTGAGCCTCTCACATTTCCAGAGGTTAAATCAAGCAGAGGGAAGTTTACAGAACTCTGGTTTCTTATCCTGCTGACGCAGTGGTTAGGAGCTCAGACTGCTAACTAAAATGTCGGCAGTTCAAATCCGCCAGCTAGCTCCTTGGAAACTCTATGGGGCAGTTCTACTCTGTCCTATAGGTTTGCTATGAGTTGGAATTGACTCGATGGCAATGGGTTTGGTTTTGGCTTCTTGCCTGAGAGGAGCTGCGCCTATTCAACAGGGATTTTTTAACCCCCCCTGAGTACCCTGTGACCTGTCCACCAAACCTGGGAAACCTCAGCCCACAGGGCCAGTCCCAAGGGAGAGGGCAGCAACCAGGGCAGAGGAAGCAGCCCTGGCTTCAGTCAGTTTTGACTCCAAACCCTCAGTTTTCTCCTTTGTCCACAACTCCCAGCTGGGCTTTCTCTGGCATGTGAAGCCAATCTGCTTTTCCATCCCTGCGGCTGCCACACCTGAGCCCTCTACTCCTCAGACATCTCTACCCTAGACCCGCTCTTATCCAATCCATCTTACTTCACAGACCACAACCTGAACAGTGCTTCCCAGGGGCCATCTTCACCCCATCCCTGCTCAAGGGCCCCCATGGCCCCTCAGCATTTGCCACAGTGGAGCCGAGCCCTTAGTCTGGCCTTCCTTCAATGCCCTCAAAAAGGCCTGTCTAGTCCACCAGCCTCTCAGCTCCTTCTCATTTTTGACTACTCCCCAGCACAGCCCCATGGTAAGCCCACAGTTCACCAGCCCAGCCCCAGGCCTGCCTCTTCCTCCTGTCACTGACAGCTGAGTGTCCCTGTGGACACACGCCTGGCCCATTGACACAAAAGCCCCTCCCCGCCCCCTGCAACCCCCAACCTTGGACTGGCTTCTCAGAGCACTCTAGTTCTCTTTCTGAAATGAACTGTTTATTGATTTATTTACTCTCTTGCTCTCTGTTTTCTCCGAAGGAGTTGATAAGCCCTATGAGGGCAGGGGTCCCATCTCACTGAATCATTTACTAAGACAGCTCCCTCATCCCGCAACCTTTGTCCTCTTTAAGTCTAGCTTTCCATCACTCTGTTCATTTCCCTTAGAGGGGTTCTGTCTGCACTTTGCACATTCCCCTTACAGATTTGTAATGTATAAGGAGAAGACCCAGATGGTCCCGAGCTAAATTCCCATATACTCAGGAGCGGATTATCGAACAGGCAAGGTAAACCCAGTGCTTACTTTGCTTACCAGATTGTCTGTAGTGAACAATTTCACATGGGTTTCACCACACCTTTGATGTTGTTTACTACAGATTAGTAAGCACAAGTAAGCCCATGCTTACCTTGCTTACTGGGTCATTTGCCCCTGTCAGGGACTGTAAATTTGAAGAGAGGCTTTGATTCTGTAGGAAGGTGTGTGGGGTTGGGAGAGAAACAGATGCTAGCCATACCTAGAAGCTGAATCTTTGATACGGTGAAAAAATGTGAAAATGTTCACCACAGATGATCTGGTAAGCAAGGGTAAGCACTGTGCTTACCCTGACTATTGGATAATCAGCCCCTGAATATCCTTCACTTTTTGTCCAACGTCTTCCCCATCTCCATTTTCTCTGTCCCCGTGCTCGCCATCCCCGGGTCAAGATGTCCCCGCACAGGTACCTGGAGCTGGTGCATGTGCAGCACGTAGCCTTGCACCAACATTTGGAATAAGTGGCGCAGCTGCCCGGGCCCTGGAATCTCCTCTGGGCTCCGCAGCTGCCGGTCGCTACGCCCGGTTCCGGATGCCTCTGCCGCGGGAAGGGCTGAGTGGAGCGTGGCTTTCGCCCTGGCCCGCGGCGGGCGGAGGCCAAGGCCTGCCATCCGCGTCCCCAGCAGAGCCCAGCGCAGCCTGGTGCATCGCAGCGCAGCCATGGACGGTACTTGCCCCGAGTCGCGTTTCGATCCAAGCGGGGCGGCTGGACCAACCCCGGAAGCAAGGCAGGCGGGCGGGGTCAGGGACAGGGGTGCTCTAGGGTGTCGGGGCGGGGCGGCCCCTCGCAGCCCGGAGAGCCCCTTTCCGCTCCCTTTTTCTCGCGATCCTCAATCCCGCCAAAGTAGGACCTAGTGAATACACAGAACTCCCTTCTCTGGCCCCGGGGAGGGGGTCAGGCTACCCAAAGGCGGGCGACAGAGGGGATGACTAAAGGGACCCACAGGGCTCTGACGATGGTCTCCCACCTGCCGACTCCCCACCTCTCAAGAACTCTGCTTAGTACACGCAGGAAATGCTCCGAAGTCCTCAGAAGCAGGGCCGGCAAACCCCTTCCAGAGAGACAGGCGCCTGCCAGCCCATTCGCCACCCCAAAGGCCATGGCCCCAGTGGGTGGGCCACTTCCCCCCAAGGACCGAGACCGTCTGCTGAGGCTAAACTGGCCTCTGGCTTTCCTAAGAGCTGAGCAAGGAAAGAGCAAATGCAGCAAAGTAGTCATGAAAGTGTTCGTCTGATTCCTGGTGTGTGGAATCCAACCAACCAACCAATTTAAATATTAGGGTGTCTTTTAAAATCCAGTTCTCTCCACCACCACCACCACCACCCCCAAGCCTGCTAAGGCAGGGTTTTTCCAACTGTCGGTTGAGGCCAGATTTATTATGGTTCGGTGGCATGGAGTCAGTTCCAACTCATAGCAACCTCACGTACGACGGAATAAAACATTGCCTGGTCCCGCCCCATCCTCACTATCGTTGCTATGTATGCATTGTTGCAGCCACTGTGTCAGTCCATCCCGTTGAGGGTCTCCCTCTTTTTTGCTGACCCTCTACTTTACCAAGCATGATGTCCTTCTCCAGTGACTGGTCCCTCCTGATAACATGTCCTGAGACCAGATTTAGTGGCTTGTTAAAAAAAAAAGTCTATTTTTTAATAAAATGGAAAAAAATAAAATAGTATAGAAAACATTGCAAGAAGAAAAAGTATTTTTTCATAAATCTTTTGTTATGTATATAACAAATATATGTGTGTGTGTGTGTGTGTATGTATGTATGTATTCAACCACAACTCCTCTGTCAGTTTGTCGTACTATAGTGGCTTGCATGTTGCTGTGATGCTGGAAGCTATGCCACTGGTATTTCAAATGCCAGCAAGATCACCCATGGTGGCCAGGTTTCAGCAGAGCTTCCAGACTAAGATAAACTAGGAAGAAAGACTTGGTGGTCTACTTCTGAAAAAAATTGGCCATGAAAATCTTATGAATAGCAGCGCAGCATGGTCTAATATAGTGCTGGAAGATGAGCCCCTTGGGTTGGAAGGAAAAGCCAACTGGGGAAGAGCTGCCTCCTCAAAGTAGAGTTGACCTTAATGCCGTGGAAGGAGTCAGGCTTTCAAGACCTTCATTTGCTGATGTGGCACAAATCAAAATGAGAAGAAACAGCTGCAAACTTCCATTAATAATCGGAAGGTGAAATGTATGAAGTATGAATCTAGGAAAATTGGAAATCGTCAAAAATGAAATGGAATGCATAAACATCAATATCCTAGGCATTAATAAGCTGAAATGGACTGGTATTGGCCGTTTTGAATCAGACAATCATATGGTCTACTATGCCAGGAATGACAACTTGAAGAGGAATGACACTGTGTTCATCGTCAAAAAGAACATTTCAAGATCTATCCTGAAGTACAGCGCTGTCA